GTCTCGAACCCGCGGGCTCAGGCAATCCACTCACCTCAGCCTCCCAAAGGTGCGGGATTACAGGCTGAGCCACTGAGCCCGGCTTGTTTTTACATTTCTAAAGCTGAGATAATGATTTTACCCGAACAGGTTATTGTAGAAATTTAAAACAGCACAATGAATAGAGTGGGGTTGCTCATGCCTGTAATCCCAGCTACTGGTGGTGGGGAGCTGAGGAGGAAGAATCGCTTGAAGCCAAGAATTTTTTTTTTTTTTTTGTCGGAGTCTCACTCTGTTGCCCAGGCTCACAGCCACGGCAACCTCAACCTGCTGGGCTCCGGCAATCCTTCCGCCTCAGCTTTCCAAGTAGCTGGAACTACAGGCGCACGCCACCATACCTGGCTATTTTTTTTTTAATTTCTTGTAGAGATGAGTGCTTGCCAAGTTGCCCAGGCTGGACTCGAACCCCTGGGCTCGGGCAATCCTCTCGCCTCGGCCTCCCAAATTGCTGGGCCAGGCTTGAGTCACTGCGCCCAACCGAAGCCAAGGATTTAAGATCAGCCTGGGAAACAGAGTGAGGCTCCTTCTTCCCTCACGACAACAAAATTAGCTGGACGTGGTGGAGCGTGCCTGTAGTCTCAGCAACTCGGGAGGCAGAGGAGGCAGAATCACTTGAACCCAGGAGATCAAGGCTACAGTGAGCCACCATCGCATCACTTCACTCCAGCCTGGACGATAGAGCCAGACCCTGTTCTCAAAAAGCTATATACACAAAGACTCTAAAAGTGCTTCTCATGGTACGCTCAATAAATTATTAGTGTTTTTATTACCTCAGCCCTTCCCTTCCTATCCCAAAGTGTCGAAATTCTGGTCCCGGGTAAGGCCCTTCACTGTGGGAGCTTTTCTGTTCTCTCAATAAATCCTGCTTTCAAAAAAAAAAAAAGAGAGAAATTTAGGTCCCACCCCTTCCTATGGAATCCTCAGCATCTCCGAGGTCCCCTAGCCAGTTTCGGTTCCGCAGGCGCCGACGGGTTCCCGAAAATCAGCTGTTTCAGCCTGGAGCTATTCCTTGAATTGGACTCCTCCCCAAGTGGGCGGTGCTTACCGGAGCCTCTCCACCAATCACTGGAACCAGAGGTGTAGGCTTCAGCACAGCTTGTCCCGCCCCACGGGGTGGGCGGGGTTGCGGCGGCGCCAATGAGCTTGCGCTCTGGGAAGGGCTGGCCTGTGCTGGCCGCCAGAGTCGGGGGGCCGGCGGGACCTGCCGGCTCCAGGCTTCACCCGCCCTCCAGCCCGCTCCAAGGGGGCGGATCCAGGGGGTGGGCCGAAGCCGTGGGCGGGGCGGGAGGCTGTGCTACCCGAGTTCCTTCTGGGGACGGGAAGTCGCGACCGGAGCCGCTGGAGGGCGCGGGGACGGCGACTCTAATCAGGTACGGGCCCTGGTGGGGTGTGCAGGGGTAAGGGTGGGCGTGAGAGTGGGAATTCCTCCCTGGGAGGAGCGGCTGGCCCCGGGGTAGACGCCCTGAAGCGGGCAGCTTCTGTCAGCAGGATGAAATAGGAGCAGACCTCTACTCAGTCCTCGATCTTACCCTCCTGTCCAGCTTATCTTCCCAACCCTAACGCATCCCTCCCAAAACTCCCCTGCAGTTTCCAAGACCCAGAGCCTGGTATTGTTGCACTGGTCCGGTGTCATAGCCAACGCTTTGCCTCTGCTCTGCGCGCGCGCGCGCGCGCGCGTGTATGTGTGTGTGTGTGTGTGTCGGAGTCTCACTCTGTCGCCTCGGCCTGCCGGGCTCAGGCGATCTTTCCTCCACAGCCTTCCAAGTGGCTGGAACTGCAGGCACGCGCCGCCACACCCGGCTATTTTTGTATTTACTTATTTATTGTAGCGATGAAATCTTGCCAATTTGCCCGAGCTGGTCCTAGAACCCGTGGGCTGAGGCAATCCTTTCACCTCGGCCTCCCGAAGTGCTGTGGTTATAGGCGTGAGCCACCGTGCCCAACCTGCATTATTTTTCATCTTCCCCAAAAAACAATGTCCAAAGATAGATATGATTTATCCTTTTTATTTGTTATGAAAAAAAGTATAAGCTACTGAAAATTGAACCAATTTGCCTAAGGTCACACACAAAATTCAGTGATCTCCGAAAAGCTTATTGAATAAATATATGTAAAATATGTGCCTGAGAGAGTGAGAGATAACTGGAGAAAAAAAAAAAATGTTACAGCCTTTTATTTGCTTTGTAATAAAGTCATGTGACCAAGCCGGTTTCGGTGGCTCAGCCTGTAATCCCGCGCCTTTGGGAGGCTGAGGTGAGTGGATTGCCTGAGCCCGCGGGTTCGAGACCCGCCTGGGCAGCGAGAACTCATCTCTACAATAAATCAAAAAATCAGCCGGGCGCGGTAGCACACGTAGTTCCGGCTACTTGGAAGGCTGAGGCGGAAGGATCGCCGGAGCGGCCACTGTACTCCAGTCTGGGCGACAGAGTGAGACTCCAACTCAAAAAAAAAAAAAAAAGTCATGTGACCTTTTTAGACCACAGATGTACATGTCTGTTCTGTTTTGTTAGGCTCAGCCTGCAACAAGAATAAGTTTCAATTTCCTAAACAGACATCAGATGGCAGTGAACAGGTGGAGAGTAAGATGCACCACACAGCCTGCTCGGTGACAGGCAAAAACCAATTTTAAGTGAAATCTTGGAGTCTCACGAAGTTGATAATTCATGTGGAGAATTCAAGATTGACAAGCAATGAAAGTGATACAGTCTTAGGGGTTGAGTGACCCCTTGCACAGTAGACACCTTCTAGAATGGAACTCTTCCTAAATGGAGGGCAGTTTATAAGATGTACTTACCTTATCGCCAAGACATAGCTCCTAAAAAACTTTCAGAAGCTGAGCTCGGTGGCTCAGCCTGTAATCCCGGGTTTTGGGAGGCTGAGGCGAGTGGATTGCCTGAGCCCGCGGATTCGAGACCCGCCTGGGCAACTTGGCGAGACCTCATCTCTACAATAAATCAAAAACTAGCCGGGCATGGTAGCATGTGCTTGTAGTTCCAGCTACTTGGAAGGCTGAGGTGGAAGGATCACCGGAGCCCAGCAGGTCGAGGCTGCAGTGGCCAGGAGCAGCCACTGCACTCCAGTCTGGGTGACAGAGTGAGACTCCAACTCAAAAAAAAAAAAAAAGTTTCAGGACCAGCAGGGATCATGCTGTGTAGTAAATACTTAAGGCCTGCTGGCACGGTGGCTCAGGCCTGTAACCCCAGCACTTTGGGAGGCTAAAGTGGGAGCATCCGTTGAGTGCAGGAGTTCGAGACCAGCCTGGGCAATATAGCAACAACTCATCTTTACAAAAAATTTAAAAATTAAAAAAATTAGCTGGGTGTGATGACATGTGCCTGTAATCCCAGCTACTCAGGAGGCTGAGGCAGAAGGATTACCTGAGCCCAGGAAGTCAAGGCTGCGGTGAGCCGGGAGAGTGCCATTGCACTCCTGCCTAGATGACAGAGTGAGACTCTAACCTCCCACAGAAGTAAGCCCAACACTGAAGCTTATGCTTCAACATAAGCAAATATAAACACAAACAGTATATAAATTCAAAATAAATGAATTGGGGGGAGATAGGTAAAATGAGAGAGTGAAAATATTAACATTAGCTGGGCTTGGTGGCTCAGCCTGTAATCCCGCGCCTTTGGGAGGCTGAGGTGAGTGGATTGCCTGAGCCCGCGGGTTCGAGACCCGCCTGGGCAACTTGGCAAGACCTCATCTCTACAATAAATCAAAATGAGCCGGGTGTGGTAGTGCATGCCTGTAGTTCCAGCTACTCAGAAGGCTGAGGTGGAAGGATCGCCGGAGCCCAACAGGTCGAGGCTGCAGTGGCCGTAAGCATGACACTGCACTCCAGTCTGGGCGACAGAGTGAGACTCCAACTCAAAAAAAAGAAAAAAGAAAAATTATATTAGTAATAATAAACAATCATGAGTCTATGGATGATTTAGTCTAGCAAAATATCCAATCAGGAACACTCATCCTTCCATCTCGGAGCCCAAATGGCACAGTGGGAGATGCTGCAGAATCTTGACAGCCCATTTCAGGACAAGCTGCACCGGCTCTACTCGTTCAGCCTTCTGCCGATGGACATCCGACAGCACCTGGCCGTCTGGATTGAAGACCAGAACTGGTGAGGCCTGCAGGAAGCTGAGGGAATGAGGGTGGTGGTTCCCTTCTTCTGAGCCCGGAGACTTTGGGATCCTCGAGGCCCTGAAGAGACACTAATCCTTATGATTCCTGGTCCCCAGGCAGGAAGCTGTACCAGGCAACAATGATTCCAAAGCCAACATGCTCTTCTTCCACTTCTTGGACCAACTGAATCATGAGTGTGGCCGCTGCATCCACGACCATGCATCCTTGTTGCTACAGCACAGCTTGCGAAAATTCTACCGGGACATTCAGGTACTTGGAGGAGTCGGGAATGGCAAGTAGGGCTGGAAACTGAGCGTAGAGGACTAAGTTTTGGGGTATAGAATAGTACCTGAAAGTGCAAGGGGCAGATCTGAGGAAAGAGGGACAGTCTGGACTTGGAGGATGACTGGCAGAGAGAAGGGCAGAGTCTACATGACACCGTTGGGAGGGTGCCAGGGTTTGGGGGATCACCGGTGAAAAGGGAAAGGGCTGGAAAGGACGAGAAATACTGTGGACATTGGTTGGGAGGCTCTAGGTGGTAGGTCATTGAGAGTGGTTGAATTGGATCCATCGTTTCTCTTTTCCTGCTCTAGACCTTTTCCCAGGATCCTTCCAGATTGGCTGAGATGATCTTTAACCTCCTTTTGGAAGAAAAAAGAATTCTGATCCAGGCTCAGAGGGTTCAATTGGTGAGGATAATTTGGAAGCTCCTGAAATAGAGGGAAACTATGGAAGGATCTTAGTGGATTGTCTCAGAACAGGATCCTCCCACATCCTGTGGTATAATTTCTAGGCTGGATTGAAGGCATGAATGGTCAGAGTTGAAATGTGCTCAGGCTGGGTGCAGTGGCTCAAGCCTGTAATTCCAGCACTTTGGGAGGCTAAGGCAAGAGGATTGCCTGAGTCTAGGGGTTCGAGACCAGCCTGGGCAACTTGGTGAGACTTCATCTCTCTATAATACATCAGAAAATTAGCCAGGTGTGGTGGCACACACCTGTGGTTCCAGCTATTGGGAAGCTGAGGCAGAAGGATCGCCTGAGCCCAGCAGGTCGAGGCGGCAGTGGCCGTGAGTGTGCCACTGCACTTTAACCTGGCGACAGTGAGACTCTTACTCCAAAAAAAATGTGCTCAGAGCCTCTTCTTTCAGGAGCAAGAGGAGCCAGCCCTTGAAGCACCTGTGGAGAGCCAGCACCATGAGATTGAATCCCGGATTGTGGATTTAAATGCCATGATGGAGGTTGGTAGATGTGGCGGGGGAGGGCAGGTGGGGATCATCCCATCTCCTCCCTAAAAAGCAGCCTCATCAGGGTCTCATCCCTTCTACAGAGGCTGGTGAAATCTATTAGTGAACTGACAGACCAACAGGAGGTCTTCTGCTTCCGATATAACACTCGGACCAAAGGTAGGAAGTGCATTTAAGGAGCGGGAGGAAGACAGGTACCGCTGAGAGGCCAAGGGTGGAGAACAGAAGGAGAAAGTGCTAGTGAGCAATAGTCACCTTTAGCCTCACCTCACTGCCTACAGGCCTGCTGCCATGCCAAGCGAAAAGTGCCAGGGCCTTCTGGGGAATGACTGAAAGACAGGTAGTGAGTGTTGAAGGAAATGCGCGGAAAACTGACTTAGCAGATTGAAGGGCTAATCATCCCAGGTCACCATTCAGAATTTGCCTGAGGGTCCCATAGGTGCCCGCGCCTTGCCGGGTTTCCTCTTCTTCCTTCAAAATTCCTCCTTTCTGACCGTCTGGGACCCCGGTCAGGGAGGAGAGGGGAAGGAGCCCCTGGACTGACTCCTGCCCCTGCCATCAAGGGGGGACACCCTCTTTGGACCTTCATCAGACCAGACAGGAGCAGCTTCTTCAGCAAACTCTCAATGAATTGGACAAAATGAGAAAGGTAGGAGGCAGAGGACAGAGGGAGGACAGAGGCCCCTTGACCTCCTGATCCCAGTTGCATGGGGAGGATGACAGTGAGAAGGGCTCAGCGCTCATGTTGTGTCTCTCCTAGGAGGTGCTGGATGCCTCCAAAGCGCTGCTAGGCCGGCTGGCCACCCTGGTTGAGCTACTGCTGCCCAGGGTAGAGGAGTGGAAGGCCCAGCAGCAAAAAGCCTGTATTGGAGCCCCGCTGGACATCAGGCTGGAACAGCTGGAGAAGTGGTGAGAGGCATCTCCACCCTCATGCTCACCCCAACCCTACTCCTAGCCGCCCCCTGTGATTTGAAAGTTGCAGTCCCCTGGACACAGCCAGAGGCATAGCTCTCTTTAGTCTCTTCGCCCCAGAACTACTCCAGCTGCCTGGTCCCTATCCTCACTACCCAAGGAGTCAGAGCCCAGCCTTTGTGTCGGGGGAAGTAGTGAATTAATCCACAATCTGGTTGCTCCTTCCTTTTTAATTACCCAAGAAGCAGATTTCCTGCTCTTTTTTTAATTGCGAGTAATACAATGGCAAGTGGAAGGAAGGAAGGAAAGAAAGGAGGGGGAAAGGAAAGGAAATTATTTTCTAGCTTTTTTGGTTTTTTCTGAGTTAGAGTCTCACTCTGTCGCCCAGACTGGAGTGCAGTGGCCGCTCCCAG